CACAGTCCCTTGTTGTTGCAGGTATCAGCAGCAGACAACACACAACGCAAGCCTGACAGCTGGAGCAGAGCGCCTGACACGTGGAGCACGGGCCGCAGCAGGTGCTGCTTGGGGCGAATGTGTGGCGCAGGAGTGGCAGGCTCTTCATGGAGGAGAAGTGGTACGTTCCCAGGGGTGCTTGCGGGGGGGCCGTGAAGTGAGTCGTAGAGCTCGAGCCCGAGCTCGAGATGCCTTAGTTTTACCTTGCCTTGCTTGTATGGCTGTATTACGAATGTGCTGTACTATCTTGCTTATTCAATGAAGGACCATGAGGAGTCGTAGAGCGTCGCCGCGCAGAGGCAAGAGTCGTGTCTTCACCTCTCGCCTACACCTCTCACCTCCTCTTCTGCTGCTCCTGACCCTCCTTGTTGTGCCGCTTCTGTGTGTGTCTCTTTCTCCCCATGCGTGTGTGTGCCTCATGTCCTGCGAGACGGACGGGGATGGCAGCAAGTGGACGGGGATCACCGGTGGCTGCGGCGACTGCAGGGTGATGGCGAGTGTCGTGAGTGGATGCAGCACACTAGAGGTTGTGAGTGGATCAGGTCAAGCTGTACCCCGCTTCACTTCTCACCGCCTTCTTGCTTTCTCTGTCACTTCCTTTCTTGTCTACCATTCTTCCACGGGGCCATGAGTCTTTGCAGCGGTGCTGTCAGCTGATCGTGCCACTCTTCTCTTCTCACCTCCCTAATCCCTTCTCTCCTGTCCTCTCCTCTCCTCTCTGCAGCGACCGGTGGTTGCGACAACTGTGAGCAGCAACGGAGCAACCGTGAGCACAGGCAGCGTCAGGGCGCTGCTTGGAGCGAAGGAATGGCGCAGCAGCAACAGAGCAGCCTGGAGTAGCACGCTGGCAGACAAGGCGTGGTGCAGGCAGAGCGGCAGGGTGGCACACGGAGCATGGTACGTGGCCGGGGGTGCTTGCGGGGGGGGGCGTGAAATGAGTCATAGGGCGTCGCCGCGCAGAGGCAAGAGTCGTGTCTCATGTTCTTGTCTTTGCCTCGCCTCCTCTCCTGCTGCTCCTAACCCTCCCTTGTTGCGCTGCTTCGGTGTGCATGTTTTCTCTCCCCATGTGTGTGTGTGCCTCACGTCCTGAGAGGCGGACGGGAATGGCAGCAAGTGGAGGGGGACTGTGCATGTGCGTGTGAGGGAAAGGGGGAAAGAGGGTTGGGGTGTGCATGTGTGCGTGTGCGTGTGTGCGTGTGAGTGTGCCTCTCAGCCTTCAAGCTCTGGAGTGTGGCGGATTGCTCTTTGTGAACCTGCCTGCCCTTCGGTGGGGACAGCAAGACAAGAGGTAACTTGGAGTGAAGATGCAGCAGCAGGGCGAATGCACAGTGCGTTGCAATTTGTCTTAGTCCCTTCCCAAGCTAGCATCTGCTCTTTTGCGTCCTCATGCCTCTCTTCCTCTTCCTTGCCATCCCTTCTCACCTCACCTCCAGCACTCACGGAAGGCAGTGGCTGCAGCAACCACAGCATGATGGAAAGCAAGCAAAGGACTTGTGACTCGAGCAGACCAACAGTTTGCTACTCCTCTATTCACCACCTTCCTGCTTTTTGTGTTCCGTTCCGTCTTGTCTACTGTTTTCCCACGGTTCTCATAGTCTTTCCCAAACCTCTCGTTTCCTGTCCTCTCCTCTTCTCTGCAAAAACGCGGCGAGAGCAACCACTGCAGCAGAAGCAGCGGACTTCGAGCAACCTGGAGCGCGGGCAGCAGCTTGGGGCGAAGGCTTGGTGCAGGAGCAACGGAGCAACATGGAGCAGCACGGAGCACACAGGCGTGGAGCAGGAGGCAGAGCGACCGAGGGGCAAAGCGGCAGACAGAGGAGCGTGGTACGTGCCAGGGGGTGCTTGCAGGGGGGGAGTGAACTGTCTTAGGGTGTCGCCGCGCAGAGGCAAGAGTCGTGTCTGTTGCTTGCGAGTCCACCACTCGCCACCTGCTGCTTCTAACCCTCTTATGTGTGCGTATGTCTCTCTCTCCCCATGTGTGTGTGTCTCTCTCTCCCCCCATGTGTGCGTGTCTCTCTCCCCATGTGTGCGTGTCTCTCTCCCCATGTGCATGTGTCTCTCTCTCCCCATGTGCGTGTGTCTCTCTCTACCCCTGTGTGTGTGTGCCTCGTGGCCTGTGAGAAGGAGAGCAATGGCAGCACGTGGACGCCTCAAGTGAAGGCGTGACGCTAAACTGGGAGAGCAGCGCACGGAGCGTGGTACGTGCCAGGGGGTGCTTGCAGGGGGGCCGTGAAGTGAGTCGTAGGGTGTCGCTGCGCAGAGGCATGTGTCGTTTCTGTTGCCCTTGCTTCCGCCACTCGCCTTTTGCTGCTTCTGACCCTCCCTTGTTGTGCTCGTGTGTGTCTCTGTCTCTCTCTCCCCATGCGTGTGTGTGCCTCACGGCCTGCGAGGCGGACGGGAATGGCAGCGTGTGGACGGGGACTGTGCATGTGCGTGTGTGGGGAAGGGGGAGGGGGGTGGGGGCGGGCGTGTGCATGTGTGCGTGTGCGTGTGGGTGTGCGTGTGCGTGTGTGCATGCCTCTGAATGTGCCTCTCAGCCTTCAAGCTCGTGGCAGATTGTTCGTGGTGCAGGAGTGGGAGAGCAACGGATGGAACATGGTGAAGATGCAGCAGCAGATGAGCGCATCCCCATTGCGTCTTGTCTCAGTCCCTTCCTTCTCCAGCTGCCATCTGCCATCTACTCTGGCTTGTCAGTGCTCTTTCTCATCCCCAGCCGCTCATCCACTCGCTTCTCCTCTCCTTTCTCAGTTCTCTCTTCCTCCTCCTTTCCATCCTTGCTCCCCTCGCCGACAGCAACTGCAGGATAGTGGCGAGCACACAAGCAGTGGTGGTGGCACCAGTAGTTGCAGCATCAACTCCCACTGCACTGGTTGCAGCTGCACCAATGGAGGGGTAATTACAGTCGACCCTATGCTTCCAAGTTCCCTCTATATGTTTCTTGTTTAATATCGCCTGTGTTCTTCTCTAGACTCCAGTACCTTACTTCTTTCCCGTCATCCCTTCTCCCCAGCCCTCCCTCCTCTCTTTCTGTATCGTAAAGTTATGGTGCCCTCGCCTCTCCCCCCCTATCCCTTCACCCGTGCCCTTGTATCCTATCGTTGTTGCGACCTTGTTTTCCTCCTTTCTCCATGCCCCATTGCTCTCTCTGGCAGCATCCGTGGGGGAAGCAGTGGCAGCAACAGCAGTGCTGCGTATTCCACATGGGGGATCCGCACGTTACAGCAAGCTGCTTTCTCTTCCAACACAAGGGGTTGACGGTGCCGCAGTAGCGCGAGTGCACCATGCATTGCCTCTTTTATCAGCGGCGTGAGTGTACCAAGTGTTGCTACTTGTCTCAGCAGTGAGAGTGTACCAAGTGTTGCTTCTCCTCGACCTTCCCTCTTCTTTCTCATGTTTCTCGTCCTCCCTTTTTTCTGTGTCCTATTATTGTGGTCCCTCTCCATGGCCCATTCATGTCCCTGACCACAACTGTGGGAAAAGCAGTGCCAGCAACAGCGGTGGCAGCAACAGCAGTGCTGCATATATCTTCATGGTAAATGGACCGCTTGATTCTGCAGGGGGGAGTTGCTGCACTTGCAAACGTGCATTTCTCACATAGTCTTCACAACGGCTGTCTGGCACAAGTATGTGTATTTTTTTCCTTCTCCCTAATCTTTGTCCTCCCCTTGATTCCATGTGGCATTGTTGTCCTGCTGGCTGGCCCTTGTGTGGTGATGTTGCAGGGCGAGGTACTGGACTGCCACATTGCTGCTTGGTGGTGGGTGGGCCGCCAACAACTCAACATGCACCGCTTCTGTGCTTACCCGCGCGTGCTTGCTTATCTGTCCTTAGCTTTGCTTAGGCGTGGTTAGGTGTGCATATCTTTGCTTAGGTCTGCGTAGGCGTGCTTATCTTTGCATAGGTGTGCTGTGTTGCGCTGTGCTGTGCTGGATGGGATGGGCCTGCATGCTGTAGAGTAGGTGGGTGGGTTGCACAACTTGGAAGGCGGCTGGGCACATACCACAAGGACTCAAGCAGGGCAGAGCGTCCTCCTGCTGCAGGTGCTGTGCCGTGCTGCAGGTTCCCTCCTGGCTCATGCTGTTGTATGAGGAGGACAAGGTGCTGAGCTGAGTGAGAGTGAGGTTGAGATGAGAGGCACACAGGTAGCATTGGTGAGAAAGGGGAAGTGCGGGAGACCCACACATATGGTGCATGCAGCAGGCATGCACACACACGACCAGCCATACATGAGCTAGGCAAAATCCCCCACGTACAAGCTGGGATGGTAAAGACTGACAGGAAGCAGCAAATGCTCACATCCTGTTAATACAGGAATGGTCACAGGGATAACCACTCAGATACGTATATAGATAGGTGCTGGAGACTGGGGACTGGTGGGCGACAGAGCTTGCCATAACATGCAGACCCAGTCCCTCTATCGCTAACCCTGCCCTGCCTTTGCTGCATCGGTCATGCTGGTGTGCCATCCACTGATACGATGGTGATGATGGATGAGATGCATTTCTCCTGCTTTGTTGCATGCTGCTGATGGAAGAGAGCACCAATATGCTATTCTAGCACCCATCATTGCCACCAGCACAGCATGCTTTATGTTGTGATGTCCAAGATGCACAGGTGATTCATTCAGTACCTTGAAACATTCGCTGTTCGGAGATTCTCAATAATTGTGCAGCCGCCGTCTTTAGTTCACACAGCTTATTACCATATGCGCAGGCTAGAATACAAGCAGCTTGATAGCACAGATGCTAATGTGAGCACATCACCACAGACCTACTCCACAGAGCCTTATCACCGTAGGGACGTCACCAAGCGTGGGTGTCACAGGGTTGTAATCATAACGTGATTGTTGCTCTAAGCGATCACAAAACACGGGTGCACCTAAAAGCAATCAGTAGGGCGGGCACGGTTCTAGAGAGTGAAGGGGAGGGTAACCTCAGCCTGGCTTGACCACACGGAAATAGTTACGCGGGAGGGTATGTAGACACACCAGGGTACGGCGGCGGGGGACTGGACGGCATTTGGCTTCCAACGCTCGACTCCATATCGAATTCCATGGCCGCTTCTTCCTCCTCGTCCGCGGCGCCTCTGTGCGTCCATTGCCGGTACTTGTGCTTCATCTTCTCCGTCAGCTTGTGCGGCACCCAGCCGTCGATCTTCGGCCGCCGGTGAATCTCCTCGGAGCGCGCAAGCTCGCGCGCGGATTTCAGCGCATCGAGGTCCTCGTTATGCTCTATAAGGCCGAAGTGGTGTACAGTGCAGCCGAGCATGAGAATAACCATCTGCGTCATAAAGATGAAGAAATAGATCGCGCCGAGGATGCGTACGTACTGCTCCGCGTCGTACATCTGGTACGGGTCGGCGTTCGGTTTCAACGACAGTACGACGTCCTTGAAACGGAGGAAGATCATCAGCGTCGAAGCGCACAGCCCCGCGGCGCTTATGAATAGGCAGAACAGGTGGCACTCGAAGCACCCGACCTGCCCAGACGCGATCGTGCCGAAGAGACCGGAGAGAATGACGAGGGTGCTGAGGAAGAAGAAACCCCAGCCGGCGGGGAAGGTGGGCGGCGATTGAATGAGGAAGACCATTACGATCGTGGCGGCGCCGCCGACGATGATCACCATGTTGAGGAAACGGAGGAAGTTCATAGCGAGGATGGCGACTGATCCCTTGAGGGACTTCTTCTGCTTCGCCATGGTGTCGTCAACGTGCGACGGAGGCTAGATGCGTCGCTAAGGTCGCCTATACGATGGTCGCTGTATTGTATGAGATAATGGAGACTGGTATGAGTGTCAGACGATGGTGCTGGCTTTGGCAGTATCGCGCTGGCTAAAGTATGGACTCTCGGCAAATGAGGCGGTCCTTAGACCATTTCTAACCGTCGACAATTGAAAGATGATACCTTGAACGAAACAAGCGGCGAAATGAGGAGGATGTTGAAAAATGAGCTATTTAGTCACGCATGAGGAGAATGACAGAGAGGGAGCTCTCAACACGGGCGGTTCGAAACTGTGGAATCGAGAGGATTGTGGAGAGGGGCGATTTGTTGCAGCGAAGGGAGACGGGAAGGGGAAGGGGAGAAGGCGAGGCGAAAGGGTTGGGCAAGCCTCGACAGCACAGCGGAGCACAGCAATAGCCACCTGCGAAATTTGACCAATGCATCGGATCGCAACGCATCGCATTGTGTGATTTCGAAGTCGCGGCTCGTTCACTCGGGAATGGACGAACGTGTCGCCCCTTGGTCGCCAAGGGTCGCCAAGGGTTCAGGAACGGTGTCGCGTGAGGATAGCCATTGAGGTATAGCCGCGTGGCTTCATAAAGAGGAAAGCTTTCGATATAGTCTTGGGAGAAAGCGACGAGGCGCCGCACCTGTGATATTTCTGCTTGTGTCACAGCATCGTAACAATCACATGACGCGCTGTCAAGTATGGCATCAGAAATACAGCAGATGTAACACGCACGAAAGGTGGTTAACCATATGAATGGGGATATTAAATATATCAGTTATTTAATGACATCATCATTCAGACAGTCGTATTCATGATAGCCATATATTTTGTTATTCATCAATAGTCAGATAATTATGCACAGCTAGATATATTTGTAAATAATGTGGCGTTTGAGATGTCTACATTATGAATGCGGATTAGTAGGTTGTGTGCGTGTTCGTCTGGTAATGTGGTTGGAGATTTTCCTCGTTATACGCATGCCGTGCCCAGCTTCGGGTAGCGACAAAGTCCCCACGCCAGCGGCTGCTGCAATCACAGTACCGTATCTGGACTACCGTACAGAATGGTCAGCCGGAAGTTGATACTTGAGTGGTTCTATGGGCTAAACACCCTAAACATTGTAGCCCATACTGCGCAGAATGGTTAGTATATTATGGTATGCCAAACCATTTCCAGTTTTTTCATCCCGTCCTTTAGAAAGGCTGCAGCAATATCCCAAGGACAAAAGGAAAAACGAACATTGTTATTGCTTCTGCGGGCTGCAGAATGGGTAGTTTGGTCTGGTGAAAATGAACAAAGCGTTGCTCTAGCACTGGGAACGAGGAGTTACCTAACTACCGAAGGGCCGTTGACCGACATCTCGTATAAACTATCATGGACTTTCTGCTAAATTACCTAAGTACAGTATAAACGAAAGCAGACCCTTACGATTCTCAATGGCGGCATTCTGCTACGGGCATCTTGAAGCGAACGACCCCTCAGGTCAGGGTAGCATGGTAGTTACTGTACTGGCTTGATACACCATCATTCTCAGTCTACGCACAATTGGGAGCACTGGCTACAAAGCGTCTGATTGCTTGGACCCTAGCGATCTGGTGCTTGGAGCCGAACTCTAGGTAGGTGGCGGGCAAACGCACTCCCGGGGAACGGTAAACAACGGTATGTAAACTTACAGTTAGTTGTTCGTACGGTTAAGTACGGCAAATGTGCTTACAGCGTATGTTCTTGGACCATGTTGGACGCATTGATGTCATTACAGCTGGCATGTTCATGTGGCGATTGTGCACAGACTGAGAATGAGGGTGTACTGTACTGGATGGTTTTCCAAAGAACAGCCAGTGTGGCCTTTGTCACGGAAACACAACACAGGTTCGTTCTGCTCATCCAGCTTATGAAGGGACAACCGCCGTGACAATCGCATTGGTGGATAATACGGTTTGCTTGAAAAACAACCAATACGAGCTTCCTCGCGGTGAGGAAAAGGCGCTTATAAGCCAGAAACACCACCCTCTCACTTCCCAAAAGCCAAACCAGGCACGACATATCGACGCTGACGAGGCGATGTCAGATTGGTCTCCTTACCACGTGGGCCACGACAAGGCAACATTGGATGAGGGCTCACGTGAGGAAGTCAATCGGTCACCCGAAATGGAGCTTAGACGGCCTTTGCCTCAACAAACCCACGATGTTTAGCTAAACATCCAATACCAAGCTGTGTGGGGAGGAGAACCTTTGTGCACTTCACCCTAAAGCACCGTGTTTAAACTTGTTCTCTTCGGCCTCCACGGTCCTTGAAAGCTGGAATGGCTTCAATTTGAGCCGCATCTGGTTGCTCCCTCATGGTCGCGATCGCGCCTCGGAGATTCCTACTTCTGCTAGGTCCCGCGCCGCCGCCAGCTGCTGCTTTGCGCAACTACGACCATTCGCGCGCCAACGTTGCGGAAGTCTGCCAATCTCATTCCCCAAAGCCTGCCCATTGGGCAGCATTTCTCCCCCCAAACCCCACTCTGCTCCTCCCGCAGCCCCCGCCAAACCCCTATTCCGCTCCTCATCCCCGCCCGCACACCCTCATCAGCCAATTCCCGCGCGACTCCATCGGATCAAAGGGTGTGCTGCGGGGGGGCCTGGAGTATGCCTTCAGCCTCCCATCCCATCATCACCCGTCCATTCGCGGACTACATAACTCCGTGCGATTTCTCATTTCTTTCTCATTTCTCATTTCTCATTTCTCATTTCTCATTTCTCATTTCTCATTTCTCATTTCTTCATTTCTCATTTCTCATAACTCTTTTCCACGACATTTTCCAACTGCGCTTCTTTCCCCGTCCGCGGATTTCGAACAACCCGCAACTCCCCGTGTGGGCTCCAGCCGCTGCCAGGCATCATGTCGGGTCTACCTCCCAATTGTCCCCCAGGGGGCTTCGGCATGCCTCGTGAGTATCTTCGCAACTCACCCCTTCCCGAGTAACTCGCTGTAACACAGGTTACCAGGGTTTCCCCAATTCTCGCAAAACTCTCCCAATCCCTAATTTCTTTTCAATTGAAGCCATGAAAGTCCCTATATTATTTTCTCGAGTGCCCGAATTACTCATCGCGCATCCTTCGACGCTCTTTTCCTCGCAGAGTACTTCTCGACGGGCTCCAACGGCCAATGTCAGCAGGCGTCGTCCTTCTTCGGCGGCAAGCCCCCGCTCGACATAAGCGTGGGCTACGCGGTCGTGCTGGGCTTCGGCGCGTTCTTCGCCGTGTTCACGTCGTGGCTCGTGTGGCTGGAGCAGCGCTACGTCGGCACGCGCCAGAGCTCCGAGTGGTTCAACACGGCGGGCCGCAATGTGCGGATGGGGCTCATCGCGTCCGTCATCGTCTCGCAGTGGACCTGGGCTGCCACCATTCTGCAATCCTCCAACGTCGCCTGGCAGGTCCGTTTCGAAAACCGCCTGAATATTCGGTCGGATCGCGCCTTCGAACGTAAATAAGAGACCAGATTGAAAAATCTTCGCGTTTTTTGGCCCAATGTGACTCACATCCTCCTGTTTCCCGTTGCTTCAGGACGGCGTGAGCGGTCCGTTTTGGTATGCGAGCGGCGCGACGATTCAGGTGCTGCTGTTCGGCATCATCGCCATTGAGATCAAACGCAAGGCGCCCAACGCGCATACCGTCTGCGAAATCGTCAAGGCCAGGTACGACGACGCTGAGATAATGGCCGTGGCCGCGCATGACCGCAAAATGCATCTATGCGTAACAAGCGGCGTATGAATGGTTTGATTCAACGCGAACAGTCATGTCGATGCCCTTTTAGTAAGCGCCCGATTTGAAGTATTTCCCGACCAACATTCTTGTTTGGATGTTTTTTTTGTTCTTTTCTTCGCGACCCGGCGGAACAGGTGGGGCACGGCGGCGCACATCGTGTTTCTGTGCTTCTGCTTCCTCACCAACATGATCGTCACGGCCATGCTGCTGCTCGGCGGGTCAGCGGTGGTCAACGCGTTGACCGGCCTCAACATCTACCTCGCGTCCTTCCTCATCCCGCTCGGCGTCATCTTCTACACCCTCGCCGGTGGCCTCAAGGTGGGTCGCGACCCATCGCTTCGCATCGGATCGCACGGAAAAGATGGACTCGGTAGATAATCCGAGTTGTCCTTTTGCATTCCCTTTTCGAGAATTTCTGTCAACGGACGTCGTTTAAAACATGTTTCCTTGCACTGATCCGTGCCATTTTCGATCTCTTGTCCTACTATTCCCCGCAGGCGACGTTCCTGGCGAGTTACATCCACTCCGTGATCGTGCACATCATCCTCCTCATTTTTGTCTTCCTCGTTTACTGCACAAGCTCGTGGCTCGGATCGCCGTCCAAAGTGTACGACAACCTGAGCTACGCCGCGAGCCCCACGCGCGACTGCTCGCTGCAGCACCCGGGGCAGCACTGCGGGCCGGTGTCGGGCAACAAGGACGGCTCGTATGTTACCATGATGTCCATCAATGGCTTCGTCTTCGGCCTTATCAACATCGTCGGCAACTTCGGCACCGTTTTCGTCGACAACGTAAGCACCCTGCGAGATTCTGCGAAAATTTCGTAGTAACAATCATCCATCACTCCGGAAATCTGGGCCCAAGTAACCCATCCCGTCAAGCCTAAACCGTTTTCGTCTTTTGTCACCCCTCTCGTAACAGGGTTACTGGATGAGCGCGATTGCGGCGAAGCCGTCGTCGACGCACAAGGGGTATCTGTTGGGCGGGCTGGTGTGGTTCGCCGTGCCCTTCTCCCTCGGCACGTCGCTCGGGCTCGGCGCCATCGCGCTCGGCCTTCCGCTCACGCAGGCGGAAGCCAACCAGGGGCTCGTGCCGCCCGCCACGGCCGTCGCGCTGATGGGCAACTGGGGCGCCGTGCTCATTCTCGTGATGCTCTTCATGTGAGTCGATGACGGGCGCGATTCATGCTCATCGCATTTCGCATTGCTCCAATTTCTTTTCCGTTGCACTTCGCTTTGGCCTCTGCACAATAGAGGATTTTTTTTCACGCTGCGTTCCGCTACACCGCAAGTGAAGTTTCTCACAAATCGGATTCATTAATTTGCGTACGCAGGGCCGTGACTTCCGCTGGATCCGCTGAGCTTGTTGCCGTTTCAACTCTGGTGACGTACGATATCTACCGTACGTACATCAACCCCAAGGCGAACGGCAAGCAGATCCTGCTGTGCTCGCGAATCATGGTGCTCGCATTCGGCCTCTTTATGGGCGTCCTCGCTATAGCGCTCAACCAGGCGGGAGTGTCCCTGGGCTGGATGTACCTCGTGATGGGTGTGCTTATCGGAAGCGCGGTCATTCCTATCGCGAACGTGATTCTCTGGAGGAAGGCCAACGGTTTTGGTGCTATTGCTGGCTGCCTCATCGGCATGGTTGCAGGTGCGTTCAAATGAAGGTGCTCACCTTCATACACTTCATACAGGCACAATTAAGAAAACCCATACTTGTGCATCAAACATCCTGCTTTGGTGAAACCAAGTTCCATGAACTCTATCCTCTGTTCCTGTTCCACAATGTTGACAAATCCACCACACGTGGCTATGGTGCATAAATCATACTAACTTTACTTTCCCTTTGCCCCATCTCCAACAAAATCCAGGCATCACGTCGTGGCTGGTGGTGGCCAAGGTGCAGTACGGTGTGGTGGACCTGGACAGCACCGGAGCTAATTCCTCCACACTCACTGGCAACCTCGTTTCGATCATCACTGGCGGCGCTGTGCACGCCATCTGCAGGTACACCTCTCCTCCCCCCACCTCCTCTTAAGGCACATTGAATGCGCATTATAGCATCGCTGTTGCGAAATGAAGTGCCATATTAGCGGCTGTCCCCCCTGAAACACATCTGAAGCTCAACCTAGGATTGCAATGTCAAACCAGGATTTCCAAATCCACTCCAAATTGTACCCAACGCAGTGGAACCTCCCTCCCTCTCACCATCCTCCGCTTTCTCGCCTGCTTTCCCTCTGCCTTCCTCCACCCCACCACACGCCAGTTTCATCAAGCCAGACAACTACGACTTTGAGGGCACGCGGTGCATCGCCCTGGTGGACTCAGACGGGCACGCCGAGGTGGACCCCGAGGAATACAGCCAGCAGAAGCTCTCCTCCGCCAAGAAATGGATCTTCATCTGGGGCTCTGCCTTCACAATCGTCATCGCCATCCTCTGGCCCATCCTCTCCCTCCCTGCCGGTGTCTTCTCCCTCGGCTACTTCACCTTCTGGGCGGTTATTTCCATTGTGTGGGGATTTGTCGGCTCGGCGATTATCATCCTGCTGCCGCTGTACGAGAGCTGGTCGGATCTGTGCCTGGTGATGAACGGCATGTTCACCAACGATTTGATTCTCGAAAAGGTGGATGATGTGGGGCTTAAGGTGACGGCGCTCATGTCGACCAATCAGGATGCGGAGAAGCACTATTTGCTGCACAAGGAGCAGATGAAGGAGCTGAGGGCGCAGATGCCTCCTCCGGCCCTGGAGCACAAGGAGTTGGTGGGAGAGGTGGATCTTGACTGAAGCTCATCGCAGTGAAGGTGCATGAGGTGAACCCCCACCGAGTGATGGCCAACTGGGCAGGTTCACAACGTTTCTTTTTCCAAAGCAGCGTACTTTTGCTCTTTGTGGGAAAGTGGTTTCACTGGTACCAAATTTCTAGGGATGCAAAAACCTAGGCATAAGGGGTCAATAATGTATGTACCGTATGTTAATTTATATAAGACAGAATATGACACAACTGAATGTAATGTGCAAGATACCGTATTTCAGCCCAGCCCACCATCCCCTCTCAGGCATTGTCTGTGGCCACCAGTCAGAGGGGATGAAATGCTTGAAGATGGTGGGGTTGGTTGGTGCATGTTCCAAAGCTACCCCGGGACAGAAGAAGGGCGGTAGCGGGTGGGAATTCAAGAAACTGTGCATCCCTTGCTCGGGCACTGCAGTTGCTGCTGTGGTAACTGTCTGACTGCACAGTGTGCAATATTTGAGGGGAAAATCTGTCAGGTGTGATTGGTTGGCTCTTAATCTGGAGGAAAATGCCCTCACCAAAGAACAACACCATCATACAGTAGCAAGGACTAGCAAGTACTCTTGGCTCAAACATACCGTAGTAGCCCACAGATGCACAGTGGCAGCAGCAGCGTGGTGCAATAAATGAAGCATTTTACAGGAGGCAAAACAAGGGGTAAAGTGTTATGCAATCCAGCAGCAAGGCTAAGGCCGGGAGGGATGGTCAGCTTTCAGGTTGGCTGTGTAGACGGGGGGGAAAACGCAGGTTAGGGAAAGGCGGGAGGAAAGAAAGGAGGAAAGGAAGAGACGACGATTGGATGAATGCGTGGTGCTGGTGATGGCAGCAGCAGGTGCCGTGCAGATGCAAGGGAGGGCTGTGCGGTATGAATGCTGGTGGCAGGATCATGTTCTGTTTGACACTCTGTTGCACACCAGCAGTGTTGATGCATGCCATTGGGGCTAGAAACACGGTACCTATCACAATGGAAGCATGGGTTGGATTGGAAAAAACTTGCTGAAAGAAGAAAAAGCGAAAGGGCTGAGAGGGGAAAAAGCCTACAGAGTGTGGGCAAGACACAGGCTGGCAGGTTGAGGGGGGCTAGATAAAGGCGAGGGAGTTGCGGTCGTTGCCTTGTTGCGGGCGGCCCCTTGTGGGTGTGGGTGGCCGTTGCGAGTTGAGCTCCTGGTGGCATCCCATACAGCAAAAGAGTGGGGGGGGGGGGGGGGGGGGGGGGAGAGAAGGGGGGAAGAGTTGAGCCTGGCACCTTGTGGGTGTGGGTGGCCGTTGTGAGTTGAGCTCCTGGTGGCATCCCGTACAGAGGGCATGGGGGAGATGGAAGACTTAGGAAAGGGGAGAAAGGAGAGATAGGATGGGGAGAAGGGGGGAGGAGGGGAAGAGGAAGACATGAACAGCATGAGCAGGCACAATCTCAGGCATGGGATGAATGTAGGAAGCATCAAATAGGGCGAAGGGAGGAATCGAGATTGGAAGAGTTAGGAAGGGTATGGGAAGGAGGGAACCCTAGGGGCCAGGGTGGTGGGTGGATATTGTCATGACATACATGCTGTTGGGGTTAACGAAAAAGCGGATGCTAGAAAGACAAACCACTGACCTGCATCCACGTGTCATCCTGGTCATCAGACGAGTTGGCGGGGTTGCCAGTGGGCGGCAGGGGGTGAATCATTTTGGGGAAGACCACTAAATCCCTCCCCAGCACCAGGATGGCGCCTGCGTTGTTGGCCGTGCCTGCTCAAGTGACAGGGAGCAACAGGGAGGAGAGAAGACAACAGTTAAGATAATTCTGAAAAGTGATTCCCAAAATGGCAGCGGGTGAATCATTTTGGGGAAGACCACTAAATCCCTCCCCAGCACCAGGATGGCGCCTGCGTTGTTGGCCGTGCCTGCTCAAGTGACAGGGAGCAACAGGGAGGAGAGAACACAACAGTTAAGATAATTCTGAAAAGTGATTCCCAAAATGGCAGCGGGTGGATCATCTTGGGGAAGACTGCTAAATCCCTCCCCAACACCAGGATGGCCCCTGCGTTGTTGGCCGTGCCAGAATAAACTATGCCAGGTGATCGTAGGAGAAGGGAGGGAGGCGGGCCAAGTCAGTGCTTGGTGAGGATGCAATGTTAAAGAACAGGAAATTCACGGAACATCTTAGAGAACAAGGAGACCACAGGACTTGAACAAGAAAGATCAAGAATATTGGTAATGGGCTGTAAGGGAGGCGGCGCCACTGACCGCAGTAGTTGGTGGCGGAGAAGAGAGTGATGAGGTAGTCTTGTGCATGAGAAACAGCCATGTTCTTGTAACCATGGCATGCAACACCACTCACAGCCAACACCACTCACAGCACCACCCCTCACCGCAGCAGCAAGCTATTGCCACTCACCGCAGTAGTTGGTGGCGGAGAAGAGTGTGATGAGGTGCCCCCCTGCGAAGCGCTCAAAGCCGTCCATCACGCACTCGTGTGCTCGAATGATGAGCTGCAGGTCGTTGGTGTGGCAGAACTCCATCACACGGTCGGGCTGTTGGGGGGGGGGGAGAGGGAGGGAGAATGGAGAACGGAGGCTTGGGTTTGTGTTGGCGATGGTAATGGTAATGGCGATGGTAATGGTAATGGTAATGGTAATGGCGATGGTAATGGTAATGGCGATGGTAATGGTAATGGTAATGACGATGGTAGTGGTAATGACGATGGTAATGGTAATGGTAATGACGATGGTAGTGGTAATGACGATGGTAATGGTAATGGTAATGACGATGGTAGTGGTAATGACGATGGTAATGGTAGCGATGGTAATGGTAATGGTCTTGGTAATGGTAATGGCGATGGTAATGGTAATGGTCTTGGTAATGGTAATGGCGATGGTAATGGTAATGGCGATGGTAATGGCGATGGTAATGGCGATGGTAATGGTAATGGTAATGGCGATGGTAATGGTAATGGCGATGGTAATGGTAATGGCGATGGTAATGGTAATGGTAATGATAATGGCGATGGTAATGGTAATGGTCATGGTCTTGGTAATGGTAATGGCGATGGTAATGGTAATGGTAATGGCGATGGTAATGGTAATGGCGATGGTAATGGTAATGGTAATGGCGATGGTAATGGTAATGGCGATGGTAATGGTAATGGTAATGGTAATGGCGATGGTAATGGTAATGGCGATGGTAATGGTAATGGTAATGGCGATGGCGATGGTAATGGCAATGGTAATGGCGATGGTAATGGTAATGGCGATGGTAATGGCGATGGTAATGGTAATGGTAATGGCGATGGTAATGGTAATGGCGATGGTAATGGTAATGGTAAGGAGACGGGAGGGGAGAGAGGAGGAGCAGGTGTTGGGAGGAGGTAGGACCAGGCATAGGAAGACATGAGAGGACTAAGGAGAGGAAAGCGTTGGATTGGAGGGGAGGAGTAGAGGAGGGGACGAGTCGAGGAAGAGGGGAGATCTGAGAAGAGGGCAAGCAAGGAGTGGTGAAGAGGATAAGAGGAGCAAATGAGGAGCGACAAGAATGAGAAAACAGGAGAAGAGGATGAGAAGAGGAGAAGAGAGGAGGAGCCACAGAGAGAGGACAGGAGGAGAAAATGGGAGGAGTAGCGAGGGGGAGAGCAGGGGCAGGGTAGAGCGGCTCACTCCGAAGGTGACGAGGCCAGGTCCTCTGGCGTTGGGTTGCAGGCCCTCTATGCTGTCGTTCTCCGTGGGATCCGACCTGCCAGGCACATGAGAGAGGAATAGTGTGCGTGGGAGGAAATAGCAGAGCAAATAGCAGAGCAGGAGCATGAGCAGCAAGTGTGTAAGTGGGTGGGGGTGAGCATACGCGTGCAGAAGAGCAGCCCCTACCACAGCAGGTCCATGAGCACCATGGACCCCGCCTCCATGGTGACGGGGCGCTGCAGCCAGATGAGCGGCGTACCAGTGACTGGCTCACCAGAGAAGGTCCATTAGAACCATTGACCCCGCCTCCATGGTGATGGGGCGTTTGAGCTCCTCGATCTGGGAGATGTGGGAGATGGAGCGTCCGATGCCCCCGTGCATGCACAGGATCTTGTGCTCTATGAGGGCCGCTAAGGGCAGCCAGTTGAACAGCTGGTTGATGCGGTGCCACGCCCATATGCCACCCTCCTCGCCCTGCAGGGTAGTTTTTGGTGGTGGTAGTGGGTGTGGGTTGGGTTGGTGGGATGAAGGGCGGGTGGGGTCGGGCAGGGGAGTGTGGGATAACGAGATAGCTCAATTGACGGACGAGCCTGGCAAGCAGAGTGCATGAGCGACAGGATCGAATGCAGTCAGCTTGCGATGCTCAATCTTCACATCGCAATGTGCCCTGCATTGCACCAGCCATGCATCAAATACACTGGCATAACTTGCCCCACCCACTGTGTGGTCGATGCACCCACCATGCACTGCCTCTAATTGTGTCATACGCACCATGCGTTCGATGCACTCTATTCGGAAGCCAAAGAGTGCATTGATGTCTGCCGCCTCGTGGTTGCCTCGAATCAGATGCACGTTGCGCGGGTACTCGATCTGGTACGGAGGCGAGGGAGGGGGAAGAATGGGAAGCGTGAGTGAGGAGGAGAAGATGCACGTGTATGAGAATCAAATGCACGTTGCGCGGGTACTCATACTGGGGTGGGTCGGTGGGGGAGGGGGAAGGGGTGGTGGTGGGGGGAGGGATGGGGGAGGAAGAGGGCGGGGTTTGCGGGGGATGTGGCGCACATGATCTTGAGGAAGAAAGAAAAGGGCAGCTTGAGACGAAATGCGGCGCATGAAATTCGAGATTGTTACTAGCAAACGGCGGCTAAAGGAAGCGGCCTACAGAAAAACAGAAACCCAGCCACCCACACGCATGCATGCCATCCACCCCCCATCAATGCCATAAATCCCACGTGCATGCTTGTATCCCTGATGTAGACCAACGCACCAGTGGGTGTTCATTGCATCACCTTGAGTGCGAGCAGCAGGATGATTGTCTCCAGACTGTGCTGCCCCCTGTCCACGTAGTCGCCCAGAAACAGGTAGTCTATGTACCTGGTGGGGGGGTGGGGGGGTGGGGTGGAGATGCAGGAGGAGGCGGATGGGGGAACGGGGGAAGATAAGGGTTGATAGGAATTGAAAAGCAGAAGCACCGAGCTGTGCTGCCCCCTGTCCACGTAGTCGCTCAGAAACAGGTAGTCTATGTACCTGGTGAGGGGGTGGGATGGGGGGAAGGCAGAGCAGGCGCGCAAAGGAGAGGCAGTGAGGGATTGAATAGCAGGGAGCGGAGGCACTGTGCTGCCCCCTGTCCACGTAGTCGCCCAGGAACAGGTAGTCGTTGTACCTGGTAGGGGAGGGGGAAGGGACGCAAAGGCAGGGAGAGCAAGGACATGAGTGCAGTGAGGAAGTGAGGGAGGGAGTGAAGTGCGGAGAGCAGAGGCATGGTGCTGTGCTGGGTGGTTGGCACATCGTCACATCCCTGCATTGCCAGCGACGATGGGAGGGCAGGGCAGCACCATGTTGAGACGGAGGAAAGAGGACAAGGCAGAGGGGGGTCCTGCACTCACGCGATGTCGCCGGCAGTGGAGGGCGAGCCGTACTCATCAAAGAGGCGCATGAGGTCACCAAACTGCCCGTGCAGGTCGCCAAAGATCTTCACCGGCGCTCGCACCTGGCGGGGAGAGGAGGGGCGATAAACAACAAAAAGGGCAACACCACCAGAGGCAGCGCAAGGGCAGTGGGAAATGCAAGGGCGCATGAGGTTGCCAAACTTGCGCCAACGATCTCCACTGGCGCCCGTGCCTGGTGGACGCACGTGGGGAGGTGAGAGAGGCATTAGACGGTAGCATTAGATAGAGCACAAGGGAAGGGATCAACGCAAGGAGCAACACAAGAGGCAAACAGGGAGGGCTCGTTCGTAACTGCAGCACGGAGGGCTCGTTCTTGAAGTGTGTCTCTGCGAGATCACAGAGCTTCACGACAGAGGGTGTGTGCGCTCACTCCCCATGCGCGACTATTTCACCTTCACACCCCCACCTCTCTCAACTGCTCACCTGCAGCACGGAGGGTTCGTTCTTGAAGTGGGTCTCAGCGAGGTCACAGAGCTCCACGACGCCATGCACGTCCAGGAAGAACTGCCGGTTCACCGAAGGCTTCCACCCCCGAGGCTTCAACAGCGTTTGCAGCACCTGCCAGTAAGCAAGTCAGGGGACGGACAGGGGAACGGGGAGGCTTTAGAGTCGCCTCGAAACTCACAAGCCCCACAGCTTCTACAGCATTTGCACCCGCTTCCTCCCCTTTCCTCCCCCTTCCCTCCCCCACACCTTCTTATGCACACCCTAAACGGACACCTGGCGCCAGCAACCTCCTGCCAGCCTACTCTACTGCCCCTTCACAAGCCCCACCTTCTTGTGCACGCCCTGGATGGACATCTGCCGGTCCAGCAGGCGGCGGTGGGCCTGCACGCCGTCGGGGCTGTAGCTGATGCGGCGGCCCTCGTTCTCAAAGTGCTCTATGGACAGCTGCCTCACCAAGCCCCCCAAGTTGTTGCCGCCTGGATCCGCTGATACCACCACCTGGGGGGGAGGAAGAGGGAGAGAGGGACAAAGGTAGATGAATTGGGGGGAAGGAGAGGACGGGAGGGGAGGGGGAAGGGGAGCGGGAATAGGAGAGGCAGACGTTGACACACCAATGGAAATGAAAACTGCGAGGAAAGAAGTAAAGCTGCATGGATAAGCAGACAGCGGAAAAGGGAGCAGGGTGGGGTGGGGGAAAGGGGGGAAGAGGGAAAGGGTGCATCGAAATGGGGGGCTTGGAAAGGGGGTGGGTTCGGTAGACCGGGTGGGGGAGAAAAGAGAAGGAAACGATAAATCAGCGGGCTAGTGGGGGCGGGCAGCACTCACAGCGCGGTGGTGCAGGCGCACACCGCCCTTGAAGTCGGGAGTGTCACTCCTGCCATCGTCGCTGTGACTGGTGAGGCTGGACGTGCTGGGGTGCAGCCCGTCGCTGCTGCTGTCATCCGCATCGCCCTCCTCGTCCTCCTCCTCCTCCTCCTCCTCGTCGCTGCCCCCCGCCCCCCCGCCCCTCCCTGGCACGCCCGCCCTGCCGTTGAAGGACACCCCATCCGCGCCCTCCTCACTGGTAAACAGGTGAGGGGGGCGCCGGGGGGAGCATTGGGGGGGCCGGGGGGAGCATGGGGGCGATCGTCAGCACGAACGTGGGGAGAAACGTGGGGTTGGGGGAGGGAAAGGGGTGGGGGGAGGGGGGGATAGAGAGGAACGTGGGGGCCGGGGGAGGGAAAGGGGCGGGGGGGTGGGGGTTAGAGAGGGGAGGAATAGGAAGCAGATGAGGAAATGGGAGGCAATTTGCTCCAGCACACACCTGCACCTTTGAAATCCACCTACAACGTGCCTCTCAATCCCAGCCAGCCCCACAACCCCAGCCAGCCCCACAACCCCAGCCAGCCCCACAACCCGAGTCCCAGTGAGCCCCACCCACAACGCACCTGGGGAGGTGGTCGCGAGCATGTGCTGCCCCGCCATCAGCGTCCCTGCCAGCGGGGGACGCAGCAGCAGCGTCCGCGCGCGCCCCCTTGCGAGGGGCCACGGGCGGCCTGCGGTTGCCCACGCCCTCCGCCTTGGCAGACGGGGCAGGCAGAGGCGGTGGCTCCGGTGGCGAGTCGTCAGCGATCAGCAGATCGTCCAGCAGGATGCCTGGCGTGTGCAGGAGACGGGGGGAACGAGTGGTGTGGGGAGGGGGGGGAAGATGGGGATATGAGAAGGGGAGGAGAAGCGACCAGACAGGTGTGACAAAAGAGTGAGAAAGAGAGTGGCGACGGTGGCGGGTCGTCAGCGATAAGCAGATTGTCCAGGAGAATGTCTGGCGTGCCTGTGGGGGGAAGGGGCGAGTGGTGTGTTGGGGGGAAGACGGGTCGGGTGGGTCGGGTCGGGAATAGCGAACGGGAAGGGCGGGGTGGAAGGGGAAGAGTGAATGGGAAGGGCGGGTAATGGGAAGGGCGGGGTGGGAGAAAACGAGAGAGCGGAATTGGCAGTGGTGGGACCTGACAAGTCATCGGCGATCGGAAGATAGTCCCGGAGAAGGAGTATGGAGAGTGGAGGGCGGGTGAGTGGTGATGAGTGCGTGAGCAGGGGGAGATGAGTGCGTGAGCAGGGGGAGATGAGTGCGTGAGCAGGGGGAGATGAGTGCGTGAGCAGGGAAGAGAGAGTGAACATGAGGAGGTGCGAGTGAGTGGACGAGGCAGAGAGAGAGAGAGGTAATGGCAGAGGAGGCGAGGTGGCAAAGTCGTTATGGTTTGAGCAGACCATACAATGCTCTCCCCCACTCACTCCAGCCCTCCAACATTCCCCCTCTCCCCCCCCCCCCTCAATTCCAGCCCTCCAGCACCACCCCACCACCCCATTCATTTCATTTCCCCTCAACTCACCCCCTCGGAGTCCGCCATAGATGAAGATGGAGTTGCCGACGGCAGCAGCGGCGTGGCGGCAGCGGCGGGTGAGCTCGGTGCTGGCGTCGCCCCCAGGCGCGTCCGCACTGAAGCGCCCCGTCCTCGCCACTGCCACCGTGCCCTTGCGGTCACACCACACCCCCGCTGCCGTGTCCAACACTGCAACACATGGGAGAGGGGCAGGACAGAAGAAGAACGGAAGGTGTATGAGCTAGACCATAGAAGCTGTTAGGTCGTCGCCACTGCTACCGTGCCCTTGCGGTCACACCACACCCCCGCTGCAGTGTCCAACACTGCAGAGCGTGGGTGGGCGCAAGAGGGCGGAGGGTAGAAGGTGGGCGTGGGAGAATGGAAGGTGAATGAGCTTAAGGTTAACGGCCACTGAAGCGCCCCGTCCTCGCCACTGCCACCGTGCCCTTGCGGTCACACCACACGCCCGCTGCCGTGTCCAACACTGCAGAGCGTTGGGGATGAGAGGGACAAGGAGAGGCAGGACAGATGAAGACCGAAGGTGTACAAGCCACGCTGGCCACATCCCCTCCCACTTATCCACCACACAAAACGTTGCACAAGAGCGGAGGTGTGCATGAAAGGCCCTGGTGCATTACGTGTGTCACTTGAGTAGACAGCCCTACATACCCCCCATGCGACCGCCTTTTGTGTGCAGGTATAACTACTTCCCGCCCCCCCTACTCACCCGCCACACTGGACGCGTCCTCCACCATGCGCCCGCCCCCCAGGGCTCCACCCGACACGTGCAGGCGCAGATTCACAAACACCTGCTCGTAGAGGGTGGACGGGTTAGGGAAGAGGAGGGAGGGAGGGGGGGGGGTGTTGGAGGGGGGGGGGGGGAACGGGGGAAAAGAGAAAGAGAGTAAGGCGCATGAGTGGCTCACTGGTGCATTCTGGTTACCAAGACAGAACCACGACAAGCATGCTACCGGTGGCACTCGACCAGAAACTGAACTTTGGGCGGACAGGCGCATGTGCAATGTGAGGGGCTTACAGCGGCATGCTGGTAGCGCGCGGAGGGAGACACGCCAGGGGCGATGGCCCACTCCCACCGCCCATCTCGGTGCCGCGCCAACCCATACGCGCCTGGCAGCGGCTGCGGGGATGCAGGGGGGGAGGGGGGGGGGATAACGAGGGGAGGAAAAACGGGAATTATGGACAAGGTACTTATTGAACGGATAAAAACAAGCACCAGGGAGGAGCACAGGTTGCATCGCAGGGCAAGTCATGGCACAGCACGGTATGGCGTGAGAAAACGTTGCAGCTGGTGCAGCAGGAGCAGGGGCTCACCACGCTGCTGCCATCACGACCACCACAGAGCAGCAGCAGCCCGTCGTGCCTGGAGCTAGCAGTGGCGTACATGCAGGGCGGCGGCCCCTCGCCCTCGGGCTCCAGCTTCTTCCACTCGTACGGCTTTGCTGCCGTGTCCAACGTCCACACGTCCGCCAACGGCCGCTTGCCTGCCAAGGGGGGGGAGGGGGGATAGGGGGGGAGGGAGAGGGGGAGGGGTTGATGCGGAAATGGGGGATGGAGAGGGGGAGTGGGGGGGGAACACATGCACTGGGCTTGAGTGAATGAGCTGAGCGTGGTGTAGCTGGTCTGAGAATGTATCCAGAGTCCAGACAGGTGCAAGGTAGTCAAACGCGAGGAACTGAAAATAGATCTCTCGCTCGCTAGCTCGCTTGCCCGTTCGCTCCCTCGTTTGCTCGCCCACTCGCGCGTTGGCGCTCACCGTCGTTGCCGCTGATGGAGAGCAGGAAGCGCTGCCCCACGAGTGCCATCACGTGGCCGTAGCGAGGCCCTGGCCCCGCGCCCTGCACCACCACTCTGAAAGAGGGACGAGAGAGCAGGGGAGCGGGATGCGGGCGGCGAGGGTCAGGGGCGGTTTACGAAGTCATGAGTTGAGATTGATTGCTGATGCACAATGAACGGGAGATGCGGAGCGGGTGGGAGATGCGGAGCGGGTGGGAGATGCGGAGTGTGGCAGAGTGGTAGCGAGAGAGAGAGGCCGGCGTTGGGCGTTACCTGTGCCATTTGGGGCGCGCTTGCGTGAGGTCGAGCACGTGCAGGTCGTCCGTTGCCAGGCCCGCCGGCCCAATGCCACCCTGCCAACACGCGCTCCGCGAAATTTAGGGAAACAGACTGGCGAAGAAGTCGTACGACGGAAGCGAAAAGCTTCCACTCCTGAACACAATTTGATAGCCTCTCGCGCAAAAGCCCGCGCTGGAAATGAGGGTAAACGGACGCGAAATCAGGAAAGACCGATAGTTCGCGCGGTAATGTCGAGCACTGATGATGAGTGCGCACCTGAATGACGATCATGGTCCCCACTGCCGTCGCCGCGTGAGCTGCCCGAGGAGACGGAGGCTCGCCGACTGGCGACATTCTGAAAGGCGAGACGACACGGGAATGGGTCTGCATGAGGCGCGTAACGCAACGGATGTGTTACACATTACTGACGACGACGACAACGCTCAGTCCGCCATGGGAAATTGAATCGTAATACCACTACCGATTGACCTTACGACAACGCCTGTCTTCCAGTAGAAGAGGAGACCTTCAGAGTGATCAAGACTAAAAGCTTAACATTTGTATGGGTATGGGATTCTTTTCCAGCGTTGTAAGAAGCCAGAATTCACGCACTTGCTCCATGTTCTGGATTTCACGTCGAAGCAGTGAACGTCCGCAGTTGCTCCCGCCAGACCTGTGCGCGATAAAAATGCGAGCTTAAAAAGGTGAGCTTGGAAAGTGGGGTTAAAAAATATGCGACCTGAGAGGCGAACAGATAAAGAGTTTTAAATGCACTAGAGGAAGATGGTGGGTGCTCGACAAGAGATACCGAGAGAACGGAATGCCGTAGTGGCAATGCCAGGTACGACGAAACGGCACGACACGACACGACACGACACGACACGACACGACACGACACGACATCAGATGACCTGACATGGCTAAGAAAGCGATGCATCGAGGTTGCTAGGCGCCGAGCCTTACGAATGCCTGCAGCGCCGCCAGCAGAGGCGCCAGCTCCGCCTTCCAGAGCCGTGGCTCCACCGAAGAGAATCAACCTCGGACCCACGTAGTTGGCGCTCCCTGGCTCGCCCACCGCAGCGACGGCTGTGAGCGTATGACCGCATCTAGGGCCCGGCGACTCGCCATTAAACGGACAAGGAGTATACGTGGGAGCTATTCTTGGCTGCTCGCCATCCGCGTCGACGTCCATGCTTTGCGAGACTTAAATTAGGGGATTAAACAAACTAGAATGAGAGTGCGGGTGAACCTGACGGGTCTGGACGCTCAAACCAAAACACGCAGAAGCAGTCGAAGCCACAGAGGATCGCTCTCAACTCACGTGATAGCTTAGGCGTTACTTCTCCTAGACACTCTGAGCTTGCAACCTCTAGTCGGCGAACAGACAAGCCAGGGTCTTGTCACTTGTTCAAGAAAAGACACCTTTGTCTCACTAGTGAGAGTAGGGCGTGGTGGTTGGGGGAAGAGTGGGCGCTGTTGTGTGTACTGTTTCTGGCATTAGTTGAGAAGGGGCTGGCTGGAGATGAAAGGGAGTCTAGCTGGATAGGGCTGGGCAGGAGAACTGGGTGTGGTGGCTTGTCCTGAGCGCTGCTGCTCTCTGGGACTCCACGGGAAAAGGCCGAATTCGTTTGGCATGGGATATGGTGGAGTGAGGTGGTATGGGATGAACTGAGGTGGGGTGAGGTGCTTGATTTTTGTGTGTAACTTTCCCAGCATTCAGGTTCTGGAGGAGAGATACGGCAGAGGCAGACATCGGTAAAAGTTTCCAGACCAAACCGCCAGGTAATGACATCCGAACCGGCGTATCGTGGCTTTCAACAAGGCTGGAAAACCTGTTGCCGCACCTAACAGCTACAAGGGCCTCGGTCTGGGAAACTTGCGGAGGCTTGGTGAGGAACCGAACCCGAACAAGAAGCCAAACAGCCAGGTTTGGCGGCAGGCTAGGGAACTTGTGTACCAAAAGAAAGGACAGGATACTAGCAAGGAATTCAACTCAGAAAAAAGTGTACAAGTTTCTTTAAAACGTACAGGGAGCCTTCGGCAAATAAGGAACAACTCTGCTATGACCAGCCTTGGTGACTTTGACTTTCCTTTTAGGCATCGACACGAATCGTGAACGCCCTCCCCCCGGCAAAAGGCTTTCAAAATCGATGTCGGAACCACTCTCCTTCTCAATGCTATGCTCCATTTCCTTTTGCCACACCCATGCAAACAACTCATCACACCCATCATCCAGCAACCTCCCACCATCAAATTCCCACTCTGCCCCCTCTTCCTCGTCCCCTTCCTTCCCTGCCCACTCATCCTCCTCAACCCAGTCCCCATACAACAAATTCACACCATCCTTCTCCATCCTCCCCCCACCACTCAACCCACCCCTCCCACCCTCCGCTCTCCCCCTCCCTCTACCACCACCCAAACCGCCTCCCATCCCATGCCTGCCATCAGCAAACGAGCCCATACCTTGCCCAGGCATGGCCCCTCCTCTCCCCATCGGCCCACCCCCAGGACCAAACCCCAGAGGAGGAGGCCGGAGAAAAGGCACCGCTCCCACCCCACCCGCACCCATCCCAGCAGCACCGGGGAAACCCGGCCCACCAGCAGGCCCACCACCAGGCCCATAGGGGGGGAAGTCAGGAAGGACGCCTCCCCCAATCCCTCCCCCCAGTGCGCCCATTGGCCCCCCCATGGCGCCCATGGGGGGCATGCCGGGTCCCAAGCGGTGGAACTGGTCGGCGTAGGGGGGAGGTAGCATGGATGGGTCGATGGGGCCACCCCCGTACCTCTGCAGCTCTGCTCATGGAGGAAGGCGCAGGTTGGGGAGAGAAATGCAGGAGGGAGGCATAGGAGAGAGACGGGGAGAAATATTTGAAACAGGTCCAAGTGAAGAAGGTGATGGGAGGGAGAGGAGAGTGGGGAAGAGGAGGGCGGAGGGTGGGGGTTGGCGTAGTGAGGACGGGTTTATGAATGATGTAAAGAGGACAGGGTGGGTCAACAAAGGACCTGAAACCAAACTGCACAACCTGGAACCAGGCATCACCCGTGCCACTCTACTCGTGACTCTAATGGAATGCTTGAGAGAGGCAGAAAGGCGGCAGCAGCAGCGGCGGCGGCGGCGGCAGCAGCAGCAGCAGCAGCAGCAGCAGCAGCAGCAGCAGCAGCAGCAGCAAGGCAGCAGCACGTACCATGAACCCCGTGGGCGAAGTGGCACTTATCACCGAAGGGGCAGGTGCCAGTCATCTCCCACCGGTGGCACATGCGCGTGCGCCAGTTGGGAGGCTTGCCCGTCGCCCCCATGCCCACACTCCCCCCTCCCCCTCCCGCTCCCGCTCCCCCTCCGACTCCTCCGCCTCCCGCCCCCCCTCCCCCACCAGCACTGCCAGCAGCGCCATCAGCAGCAGCAGCTGATGCAGAAGGAGCGTCCCCTGCAGTCCCGGTTCCTCCGCCTGCTGCTTCCCCTGGCGCCCCTCCCTTGGCAGCGCCACCAGCCCCACCAGCACCGTCGCCAGCAGCACCAGACGTTGCCTTGCTGGCAGGCCCTTGTGCCTCTGATGCTTGTGCTGCCTGCTGCTGCTGTTGGTAATGACCAAGTGGGAGGTAATGGAAGGCAATGGGAGGTGAAGAAAGAGAAGATCAGTCAAGGAATCAATGTCATGCCTGGAGATCTGTATGCGCTGCACAGAAAAATGAAAGGAGGGGTTCACAGCTCACCTCCAGCGGTCGACCATCTCTTCTCACTCCATCCACACTCCCTTCCGCACCACCACCCCCTCCTCCCCCCCTCCTCCCCCTCCTCCCCCTCCTCCCCCTCCTCCCCCTCCTCCCCCTCCTCCGTCACCTCCCCGTGCTGGCCCCCTGCCATCCCCCGCGCCCTTCCGCGAAGCCATATCATCGCCGCCCCAGCTGGGCACGGGCCTGCGCAGCTCCTCCTGCGTGTGGGCGAAGTTGCAGTTGGTCACGTACGGGCACACGCCATTGCGGAACTTCACGCACATCTTTGTGCGGTAGAAGATCCCCCCTCGGACAGGGCCGTTCGCTGGGCCTGAGTGGGGCGCTCTTGGTGGTATACCACCCGCTTCTGTCCCTCCTCCGCCCATCCCAGCGCCCCCTCCGCCTCCGCCGGAACCTGCCCCGGCGCCTCCCCCTGCACCAGCCCCAATTCCGCTGCCCCCACCTCCCCCTCCGCCTCCCGCTCCCCCTCCGCCCATGCCGCCTGGCATTGCCCCTCTTCCTCCCCCTCCGCCTGCCCATCCGCCAGGCCCGTCCATTCCCCCTGGGCCCGGCCCAAATCCCATGTTCATCCCCATTCCGCCCGCTCCGCCCATTCCCATCCCCATGCCTCCGCCCATGTTCCCGCCCATGCCCATGTTCCCCATGCCCCCCATCCCCCCCATACTCCCCATCCCCCACCCCCCTCCGCCTCCCCCTCCCCGCGCGCCACCATCCATGCCAAAACCCAAGCCACCAGCACCCATACCTCCAGGGGCCATACCAGGCCCCGACCCTCCCATACCTCCAGGCCCGGCCATGCCTACCATGCCTCCGGATCCCACCTGCGCGCCGCCTTCCGCCGATCCCTCTCCCTTTCCCCACTTGCGCGACGAATCCCCGCCTCCGCCTCCGGAGCTGGGTCCGCCGTACCCTTGCGGGTACATCGGATCGAACCCATAACCCGGACCTCCCATCCCGCCCGATCCGCCCGCTCCCCCCATACTCCCCATTCCGCCCATGGCCCCCATACCCATCATTCCCATCCCCCCCGCTCCTCCAGATCCCATCCCCGCGTTAGGTCCGCCGATGTCCCTGCCTGTGCCAAACCCACTGTCTCCGCCGCCGCCAACGCCGCCGCCGCCGTAAGGGCCGTCGCGGGGTCGATTTGGTCCGCCGGGCCAGGAACCACCGCCGTCAGGCGCGGACGAAGGGCCCTTTCCGCTACCGTCCATGTCGCGAGACGGAGCGCACTTTTGTGAGACGCGATCGCACGACGCACTAGAATTCGCGCGCACCAGCAAATGAGTTGAAGTTCTATGGTCGGCGAGCGAGCGGGTTCACGCCTGCAGTGGACGTGCTTCTCCGCTGACACTGCTGATTTGGCTGTGTAAGCTTCGACAAGGTAATATGGCTGCGTCGTACGAAATGGAACCTCTGCTCACTCCCCGTACACAATTCACTACACGATAGGCACGAGCGCTACGATGAGAAGGCTGCCTAACTGACGAACGGCGGAGACTCACTAGCAACCAAAGCCAGAGTCCCTTCACGACATGATATCAGCGTCGAAGCCAAAAAATACACGCTTTTGAAACCCCGGCATATTCCAGACTTCGGTCGTCAAGTTGGGAAAATGGGCTAAGTTTGGAGATTACAGTATCGAGAACGTTTTCCGTTCTGTATTTCATAAGGCATAATGCAAGTTGATTTTTGTAACACTACAGCATCGAGGGTTTGGACACGTCAGCCAAGGTGTATCGCTCCACTCCAACCCCAACCGCGCCAGTTTCCGCGCTCGCCCCAGCTGTTTGGCTGGGCTTTCGGCTGGAGAACCAGTCACATCCTCCCAACTTTCCTTGCTCCTTGCTCCCTTTTGCCAGAGAACCAGTCGCATCCTCCCAACTTTCCTTGCTCCTTGCTCCCTTTTGCCACACAACCATCATAGTGCTGGTAGTTTTCATGCCAGTTGAATTCCGAGCTGATTATTGGAGACGGCGACTTTCCTTCTGTTGGCCTTGCAAGGTAAGGTAATGACAGGTAATGAACTGCAGCTTCTCGCATTGCACAAGATATTGATTGTGGTTGCAGTTTACAACCGAAAGGTCATGCTGGACTATGTGCAAGAAGAGAAGAATTATGTCAAGGAAGACTTTCGCTGTACGACCTTCCAAGTTAATCATCAATACGCTTCATGATGTCGCCTGGTTTCGTCGGCATGCTTTGCGACGAGAATATCCCTCTTAAGCTATATTTGCGACAGCACCAGCGAAATGACATCTACGTCATTGGGATATACCCTCGCTGACGCGTGCGGTATCCAGCACCTCTTCCTGGTATGCTCCTCTTCCTCTACCCCTTTCCCTTCCTTCCTATCACGCTTTTGCATTCGAGCTCCATTTGTTGCTAGTGCTTTGCTTACCTTCTTCCTTCGTGTCCAGGTGCCGTATTGTTCGCCCACGGTTGTTTCTTATGGGAACTTATTACTTTAATGAGCAGTCGCAACATATCATGGAGAGCTACTTTTGTATCGTCCTTGTCTAGGCATGGTGAGGTAAAATATGAAGTCACGCGGACTAGCATTTATCAATCTCGTTTCAGGTAAGAGGACATTTGCTACCCGCACTTATATGTTGCAAATGTGTTTTCTTTTTTGCCCTTGTTTGTTTGCTTACCCTTTCCAAGACGTTTTTTGCAGGCACCACTGTTCTAACATTTAATTTCGAGGAACAGCATTTACTTCATGAATTGAAATTATTCTCTCTGGCCGACATCCCTTCGTCAGGTGACAGTGTGATGATATCCATTTGTGTGGTGACAGTGCTGACAGTGTGACATTGGTGAGACTGTTAGGGAGGACAAATAATTTTCACCCTTGTAGCATGTGCAACAATATTCATGTGCATGCAAGCAACAGTTCAGTGGCTATAATGAACCTGATGTGTCCTTCAAAGCCCCCAAAAGTTGCAGTGCAAGCATCACCCACTAGTCAGATTTCCCCATCCTCCACTTCTTCCTTGCTTCGGTCAGCCTCCATTTCATCTTCACTCTCTTCTCCATCTGATTCATCTCTTAGTGACAGCCCTAAATGCTCTAGCACGTTCATTCCCTGTTGAGGACCTGAGACTCTTGCACCTTCACCACCAAACAGCAATTCGGTGGAGCGGTCAGGACCAATGCTGATGTGCTCAGCAGGAGCACTCAGAAGGTGCATGTCCTTCATGATGGCATGGCTCTCGTCCAACTCCACGGACTTTGCCATCTGCTTGCCATGCAACAAAGCAGTGGACACAGCCCGGAACAACGGATGAATACACTGATGAATATAGAAAGGACATTGGCACAGAAACATAACAGATGACCCTAGTGGGGAGGGAGCATACCCCTTGCAGAGCACGACGCATTGCTTCCCTTTGCTCCTCCAGCCTTTTCCGAGCTTCAAGAGCAGCCTCTGCTTCTTTCCGCCTGCGAGTCTCCTGTGCTGCCCTGGCTTCAGCTTCCAAGCGAGCTCGCTCTGGGTGATGAAGCACAATGATGTTAGTATATCATTACGACGTAAAAGGAAACATGAAGTCCTACTATACAAACCTTCTTTGTGCTTTCTCTCAATCTCTTCCAGCTGCTTTTGATCCACACTTTGAGTCTGCAAGGACAAACAGAACAAGAACATGAGAAAGCACAAGCTAAGACCAACATGAGACAATCAAGCAAGAGTTGTGAGAATATTGACTTACCTCTGTTGCTTTCTTCTGAGCATTCAGAATTATGTCAGCATACTTCCCTCGAAGAAGGGCTGCTTTTACGGCCGCGTCATCGTCACCTGAAAATTTTTGGAAATCAAACATGCGGCATACATAATTGCTCTTGTAACAGATTGAGATATTCACAACAATCTACCACCCAATGCTTTATATACAGAGCCTCCACAAAACACTTGCCTTTGAGAGATGGCTTCACCTCCTTTGGCTTTTCATCTTGCTTCACATCGACCTCCATCTTCGTCCCTTCTCTTGGAGCAGCACTGTCACCTCCTGCATCAAACGCAACAGACCCACTCAACTCCATGGGTGTTGTTCTCAAAGTTCACACAGCTTGGATACCCTGTACATAATGTACAGTTCAGGCACATTGGAACACAAATTGCACTACCCCAGTGCAAGCACTTACCAGCATTGGGAGAGGAGCATTTATCACTGGCCTTTGCAATATCCCTGCTCTGAGTCTGCACAGTCAAACAAGTAAAAACAGATACCGACATCAATATGCTTCTAGTTTGTTTTTACTACATGACCAAGGAACAGAAGGTAATGGAAAAGGTCAGTCACCTTCCCACGGGAAGGCTCAGCGAGTGTTCCCTTGGAGCGCCGATCTTCCTGATCAGACTCGCTGGCGGATGTGCCACTGTCCGAGTCGCTATCTGAGAAGGACAATAGGGGAAAACAATACATGTGAGCGTGGGGAGAGGATATGGTAAGGGATGTACAGAGTGATGTTTGAATAAGTTGGTGGGAAGGGAGGCCAGAGAAGGGAACAGAGCCAAGATGGGATCAGGTCAGGGTTGACAAGCATACCACTGGACGAGCTCTCATCGCTCGAACTGGATGATCCCGAGGTGCCTGAACTGGCTTTCCCTCCCACTCCATTCCCAGCAGGCAGCTTGGCTGTTGCCGAGACTGCAGCAGCGACAGCAGAAGCCCCATGGATAAGGCCAGAACCTTCCTCCACAACGTCAACACTGTCCTCACCTTCTGGGAAGTGAAAGAAAGAGAAACAAGATGTCATCAAACAGCACAATGACAGGACAATAACATGGCACAATGACAGGACAATAAGAGTGCTGCTTTTACACAATTCAGACAGCATTATGGGCAGTGCGGTTTTCAACAGGCAGAAGGTTTTCTTTGTACCTTTGAGCTCCTGTTGTGAAGCAGGAAGAGCGTCAGGAACCTGCACAGGCCAAAAACGGCAGCACAGCCAGATCAGCATGCCAAAATATCTCAATGCGAAACCCGCAGCACAGAGAAGCTAAACATATAGCCCTGAAATTTTAAACCATGCACCACCACACAAACCTTGGACGAAGGCACCGAATGCTTCTGCTGCAGCAGAGCGCGTTTCCGCTTGCTCTTGCTCTTCATGCAGTTGGCGACGTATCTCTCCAGCTCCCACAGCGTCTCATTATCCAGTGAGTCAATGTCAAGCTCGATCTCATCCGCGTTCTGACTCAGATCAGGATTGCGCTCCGATATGATCTGCACGATCCGATCCAGATTCTCCGGAGGAAGCTTCCCCAGGTTTACACTCAGCTTCTGCTTCTCCGCAAACGTCATGTCCCTCAGGGAAGGCTTCCCCTTCGCCTGAACCTGCGCTGCTGCTTGGCCCGTCGCCTTCCCACTGACCTGCATCTGCGACTCTAGCTTCTGCAACCGCTTCTCCAGCTCTTGAACCTCTGGCTTCTCACGGCTGTCGCTAATCTCCCTAGCTGCCTTAGCTCCCTTCACGTCCTCCATCAGCTCTTCGTCTTCCTGCCTGCGTTTCGCAGCATCTTCTTCCACCTTCAGTCTGATTTTCCTGTACCCTTGCTCAAACAGGCCCTTCAGTTCCACCGTCATGATATACACGTCACTGCCTTCCCCGTTATACCGCATAGCGTTCGACCAAACCAGCTGCACGTCGCTGTAAATTTCGTCTGGATGATGGTAACCCGACGCCTTGATTTTCGCGGTAATCGTACCCAGGTCCATCGGATTCTTGATCACCGTGTGGTAATCGTGTAAACCGAGCTTCACCGCATCAACAGGCTCTTTGAACACCCATCCGTACTTATGCGACATCAGTCGTTTCAGCAGTGTCGTATACAGCTTGAAAATGTCGTTCAATCGCTTTGCTCTAGCAGCTTCAATTCTCTGCCGTTTCACATCCAGTTCCGGCGTTGTTGCAGGGACCACCTTCTCCTTGCCTGAAGGCTCCGTTTCCGAAACCTGTATTCGCACTTGGGGCGCAGGAACGAGCGGAGCGGCTACAGCGACAGGCGAGGCGTCCATCGACTCGGATTCCACCGAGTGAGACACAATCGTACCGTTCTCGGAACGCCTCATCCGCTTCCGGCTCTCCGCACCCTTCCCTGACAGCTCCTCGCGTCGTAACACTCCCTCCCTGGCTTCCACTTTCCCACTTAACCCCTGCAGCTGCTCCAGCTCATCTCGGAGCTTTCTCCGCAGGCCTCTCCTTTCGCCACGTGTCCACCCAGCAGGACCGGTGCCTGTGCCTCCATCTCTACTGCTCTCTCTGCTGCCTCTCCTATCCGCTGCCCTGGCTCGATCAACCTCATGACCTCCGCCGTTGGAAACTGGAACCTTCCGTTTGAGTGATTCTTCTGAGAAGCTGGGCTGGGCAGCAACGGGAACTGCTGGGAAATCGGCGGCAGGCGGTGCATCTGGTAAAGTCTTGACAGCGCTAACGCTCCCTGTGGACTTTCTCCTTCGACTATCTAAACTATCTAGCTTCTCAAAACCCTTGCTGTTTACGTCGGTCGCCGGAACTACAGGCTCCAACGCGTATCCCTTGCGTACTCGCCGCTTCATGGCCTCTTCCCTGGTTATGATAACCTCGTTCCGTCTGCGAGGCTCGAGAGCTGATGGCGCCATTGCTCCCTGTTGCAAAGAAAAAAAGGCCATAACTCCACAGTCCTGTTGCAGAGCTTTCTAAGATTGATAGAAAGGAATAGAAAAAGAAAACGTCACGTGATAAGGCTGAAACAGAATTAGGCAGGAAAGACGCACCTTTGCACCTCTTTCCATGCGAGGACAAGCCCACGTGAATCACGGAAAGGAAGTGCCAGACTTCGCAACTGCAATTCATCGTGGGTAACACGAACCAGAGGAGGTCATGGTTTATCACCTGCCATGATGGATATATCAGTTGAAACAAGCTCTCCAAGTTAAACATAGTACCGATGCAGAAGACCATCCTGGCATAATATAGTACCGGCAACGCAAGCTGTGCGACGTCTCCATTTTTTTTGTAATAACAGGTGACTTACATATTGAATCCTTAGGATCCAGACCTTTAAATGCCTATTCTCTTGATTTAATTTGTTTCTTGCTTTGTTCAGCTAAGCCATGTGTTACGACACCAAAAGAATGGTTTATCAGTGCAACATACCTTCCTCCCTTGGAAAACAACAGATCCGACGCAAAATTTATGCAGCTAGCTCCACAGGCAACAAAATGAAAATACCAAAACAGCGGGTTCTAATTCGCTAGATTAAACCGTGTCGGTCTGCGCGTTCTAATCCTCCATGGCTGGCAGGAACCTAGGAGCTAGCGAATAGTGACAGCCAAAAATCGAAACCCTAGCTCCGTGGGTGCTGCGCATGGGTGAGGTGAGGCGAGAAACGAGGGAGAGAGAGAAGCGGGGAGAGGGAGGCTAGCGACGTGTGCTGCAAGCAACCACCAGCCGGCGAAAGTGCAGTTGCTAGAGCTTCTGTCTCAGAATGTTCCAGAAATCACGATAGGTGAGATGTCGATACATTCCGCTAATGCTCAAAATGAAGTCACAAATTTAACATTTAACGAGAAAATACTTCTTATATCATGCAAACACAAAAAATCAATCGAATATGCTGCTTTGAACAATTATAATCATCTAGAATCAAGCCTATGTACCACTGATTAGACCTGTCACAAGGGCGATCTGCAACCAGCTACCAAGTCAAAATTAGTCTTTGATAATTTTGTCAACTGAAAATACGTACTAATTGCAGAGAAGCTTACCCTCCTATTGTGTTGAGTATTATGACACATCCATCTAAACCTTGTCAAGGCGGCACTGCCGCATGTTAATAAAGCCACCAAGAACAGGGAAGAGCTACCAGTTCTGCAAAATACAACACAAAAAGGGTTATCTGTGCAATCACAGGTCCAAAAACAAGCAGTTACAAGCTAGATGCTCCACCAACCTTGTCAGGGGAAGCCTCTGAGCCAGCATCTCTTGACTGGATTTCATCAGAGTCACTGCTCGAAGAATCACTCCCAGAGTCGCTTTCTGTAGGATGTACCAAACACAGGAAAAGGGAGATAAGCATCTGAGAGCAAAGCATGCACAGAAGCTTCAGCTGCAGCACTAAACGAGTGAAATCAAATGTGGTACCAACTAGGCGGGCATCACACACCACTTGAGGAGCTGTCATCACTGGAGCCTGATGAGCCAGACGAGTCAGAGGCAGCCCCTCCGCCTTGTGCTCCATTCCCTGCTGACGCCCTTGATGGTTCCAACTTGGAGGGGCCTGCTGGCTGCGCAGGCAAAGGCCCTTCGTCCCCAATGTCAATGCTGTCTTCGCCTTCTGCAAAGCCATGTGACAGACGCCAACAGAGGATGGTGTGAGCACCTGACATGTTTTTGGCAAGAACTAGCAAGAAAATAAAAACGAGGCAGCAATTTACCTTTAAGGTCTCCCGCTGAGCTTGCTGGAAACGCATCCACGCCCTGACCAGGGTAGCAGGCGGAGCAGAGAAGTAATGTCAAGTCAGGCCGCATATCCAGGTTTGAAGAGGAACGGAAAGGGTCACAATGGAGTGGAACATGAACCAGCAAGCACCACTCAAGCTCCTCACCTTGGGTTGCACAGTATCATAAAGAGGGATCTTCTTCCGCTTGCTCTTGCTCTTCATGCAGTTGGCGACGTATCTCTCCAGCTCCCACAGCGTCTCATTATCCAGCGAGTCAATGTCAAGCTCGATCTCATCCGCGTTCTGACTCAGATCAGGATTGCGCTCCGATATGATCTGCACAATCCTGTCTAGCTTCTCCGGAGGAAGCTTCCCCAGGTTAACACTAAGCTTCTGCTTCTCCGCAAACGTCATGTCCCTCTTCTTCGTATCAGCCGCTCGCGGCTTAGCCTGACCTCCCTTGGCCTTCCCTTGCTGCTGCTGCGCCTTAGTACTCGCCACAAGCTGCGACTCTAACTTCTGTAACCGCTTCTCCAACTCTAGTACTTCCGACTTGTCCCTGGGATCTGGTAGACCCCCTCCCGCTGCCAGCAACTCGTCCTCCTGTCGCCGCTTCACCGCATCCTCGTCCAGCTTCTGCTGAACCTTCTGGTACCCTTGCTCGAACATGTTTTTAGCTCCGCCGCCATGTGATACACGTCATTGCCTTCCCCATTGTAAGTCATCGCGTTGGACCAGACGAGCAGCACGTCGTTGTGGAGCTCGTCGGGATGCTGGTAACCCGACGCCTTCAATCTCGTGTTGATAGTGCCCAGATCCATAGGATTCTTGATAACCGTGTGGTAATCGTGTAACTTGAGCTTCTCCGCGTCTACAGGGACATTGAAAACCCACGAGAACCTGTGCGACATAACTCGCTTAAGCAGCGCCCCGCACATGCGGAAAGCATCCGCCATCCGCTTCGCCCGTGCGGCCTCGACCTTCTGCCTGCGCGGATCTTTCTGCTCTACCCCTCCCCCCCCGCCTCTTTTGGCTAGACGATTTCGACTTGCCCTTCTCCGGCGGCGGCAGCTTATCGGCCGCGGACAAGAAGTCGGGATGTATGTACGTTGTATTCGCCTTCGGCGTCCGCTTCTCCTTCCCGCCTGGTGTTCTCTCCCCGCCAGCAGCCCCTCTCTTTCGGTGGTGCTGATGAAGTTGCTGCGCCACTCCCAACGCCAAGGGGCCTCCGCTCTGTGCTGTTTCCCCCAGGCCCCCATCAAGCGGTTGCCCTGCAGACGACAGTTCCGTGGCCTCCGCCGTTTTCCGATCTGCGAACCCTCCGGTCCCCTAGCGAGTCACTAAGAATAACCTGCGGCTCCTGCATCAATCTATTCTCACGAGCGTCTACTCTCCGACCTAGAGACAGTACCGTGTTCAAATCCGTCCTAAACTCGCGCCTAAGAGATCTCCTCTCGCTCCTAGAAAGAACCCCACGAACGGCTTCCGAAACTCTCCCTGGGTCGTCACGGTGAATGATTTCCGTCAAAGCCTTGCGCTTCCGACCAATCTCATTCGGACCCGTGCAGTCGCCATCCATCTTGGAAACGCCGGACTCTCTCTTTTTCCGCCGTTCGCCGCGGAGATCTTTCGCTTCTTGTCGTCCGATTCGTACATGATCTCGCCGTCGATCTCGAAGACGTCAGGATCCAACGGGACTGCTTCGTACGCGTGACCGTTTGGTAGCCGCCTCTTCTTAGCGCGGTCTCCCTGTGAAAAAACGTGGTCGTCTTTTCGATGCGGGTTGACGGCGGCTGGTGTCATCTTCTCTGTAACACATGCCAACAAACACAAACGCCGATGATGAAGATCATGAAACGAAAAAACAACAAAAAAACAAAAAACGAAGACACGGAAAAAAAAACAGGAAATATAACATCGAGGTAAACGTACATGTTTAAAGCCAAGCTTGCTTCCTTAACAGGAAGAACCAACTTGTGCTCTTGAAGTCATCGATCTGAACCCGCGTGGTGCCGTGAGAAGCCACGGCCCAGTAACTGAGCAAAACGGCAGTCTTC